AGATCCAAAGGACCTATGAGTAACCATGTCTGTTCCAGCGCATATCATCATTAGAATTTCTTATTTCTTCAGTACAGGGGAAATAACAGGACCGCCCATGATGATATGTATAATGAAACCATTTATTAAAGATTTACAGCTAACAATTATGAGTTAATATCCCAAATTAATATAATTTTTTTTTTTTTTTTATCGTGAACGGTAAACTGATTTTAGGTTGTTTGGCTGAGCATAAAGCGTGGAAGTAAAAAAACTAATAGAAATCCTCCAAAGGGTTCTTTAAAGAACAATGTACATGTGTATTTTTGTTCAAAAATGTTCTGCCACTTAGCTTAAAATTATTTTATTTCTGTTTAATTCGGCTTAGTATAGTGATGGTACATTATTTTCTACGCACTTTACATTTAATACACCAAGGTGCAGCAAAACAAAACATGAACAAAGATAAAAATTAAATAAAACCCCTGCACAACACAAACCCTGTGGTGTGCAGAGGGCAAAATTTAGCTCGTCTTAACAAATTTCCACTTTATCTCATATTCTTTTTAATGTATGTTAGCATACTGTAGTTTATTTCACTGCAGTTTCTCCTGTCATTGTTCAGTTTAATACCGCTGATCTTAGTGTAGCTCTAGGTTATGTTTGCGCAGTTTAATAGTTTATAGACTCACTTTATAAACTTAATTTAGATTGTAAAACAGTATATTTGCCTTTTGCTTGAGTTATTTTGCTGCTATATCACCTGAAATATTTTAAAGTTCAGTTTAAGTTAAGGATGTCCCGATTCGATATTAATATCAGAAATCGGTCCAATATCAGCCAAAAAATAATTGTAATATATCGGCCTTCTTGTTTACAATTTTAGTCACTCTTTGGTGAATAGAAATAGGTCAGTTATTCTCATAGATGATGTGAAATATTTTTCTCTGCTTTAGAAATATCACTTGATTAAGCTTTTTCTATCTTTAAATACTATAAAAGTTGTAATAAAAGTATGTATGATTCATGTTGATATCGTATAGGATCCATATTGGTATTGGTCAATTCTCTGATGTGTAATATTGGTATCGTATCAGAAATTTTTATTTGTATAGGGACAATCCGATTCATGGGCGGCCCTAGACAGGTTATTGCCTCTGCACTGAGAGAAACACAGCAAAAATTAACTGTATTTTATTTATTCGCCTTAAGTGTGCAGGTAAGAGAAATTGCCAAAAGGATGATTTTTACATTTTAAAAAAAGTACTTTATTATCTTATTTCAAGTGCATCATATCGAATTGGCTTATAACTGCAAAATTACTCATTCATTGGCATATAATCTCACTTTACCTACCAGAATTAAAGGGAAAATACACATTTTTCACCATAGGTTTACTTATTAGCATCTGCTTGTTTCAGTGTCATATTAGGTTATGTGTGCCATCCAAAGCAGATCATTGGTGCCATCCACATGAACTGGATCAGAATTATGAATCTCAGTCATTCATTCGATATCTAAACCTGCTAATTTTTCGGTATTGGATATCTCTCATTATTCCCATTTGTCTGACTTATTCATTTTGAAAGTCAGGTGATACAGCGACCCGCCAACAGAGAGCAGTGAAGACTTAGAATAGTAAAGTTCCTTTCCTTCTTTCCACAGAATATGGAGGATTTTATTCAGCTTTGGGGTTTTAACAAACTGTGTCAGATGGACAACTACAATTTAACAATTTCCTCATTTAATTATTTTTAGCCGACGTTTGTTTTTACCTTCATAGATGCACCTTTAAGCCCCATCTCTAAGGTTCTTTTCCCTGAAAAGAGATCACTCAGGACAAACTCTTTTAATAACAATTTATAACTTATATGTATTAAATAACCACGAGACATGATTCTGATAGAAATTGTAATCTTATTCAGATCAGAGAAGTTGCTTAGAATTTAAAAAAGGCAGCTCCTCACTTCCGTTCTCATCTCTTAGGAAGTGGCCCGATTAACAGTTAAAAAGGCATTTTATACATCTTTAGTACTCTCATTCCATTCCCAAATATTTGCCACATACAGAATGAAGATTATAACTGAATATCGGGATAGAGGAACTGTTTTAATTAGATAAACTATTGTGGAAAACATCAGTTCAGACACGCATCAGTGTTTATTATCCTAACAATAAGGGGTATAAATTATAATCGTTTTGTATAGACACATCGATCCAACAGCCAACGATCTGATGCATCAACACCTCTGCAAGAGTATCGATTCATGTTTTTTTTCCCCCCATCCAGTCTGTTTATCCATTTGCTCCTGGATGTAATTCTTACTCCGGTGCTGCGGTGGCGCTAAACCTATTTTGCCCTCCTACCTCGCTTCCTTCAGCCACTACCCTCTCTCCGCTTGCAGTATTTTTGCTGCAAGGCCTTTCAGAATCTAGAGAACAGAGGTATTTTTATTTTTCAGTGAATGAGGTTTTCATAGGCCTATAGGTGGAATACAGCTTTGCTACTTCTGGCATTTGCTGTTGTTTCTCAAATTAATGCATAACGATATTACAGCTTTAATTGATTGAATTCAAGTTGGAAACATTGTCTGGCCTGTAAGGTAAAAAAAAAATAAAAATACGTTAACCAATTAATCAAATCGAATTGTATTGTGGTGTATTCTTGAGTATCGAAAATAATTGAATCGTTGGGTCAGGAAATTGATACTGAATCGAATCGCCATGATGGGTGTGATTTACACCCCTACTAACAATAATGATTTTTAACTGATGTTTTATATCAATCATTAATTCCTTGATTCCTTAAATGATTCCTTCCTTCCTTCCTTGATTGATTCCGTCCTTCCTTCCTTGATTCCTTCCTTCCTACCTTGATTTATTCCTTCCTTCCTTGATTCTTTCCTTAATTCATTCCTTCCTCCATTGATTCCTTCCTTCATGTATTCCTTCCTCCCTTTCCTTGCTTCTTTCCTTGATTCCTTCCTTCCTTCTTCTTGATTCATTCCTTCCTTCTTCTTGATTAATTCCTTGATTCTTTCCTTGATTGATTCCTTCCTTGATTGATTCTTTCCTTGATTCCTTCCTTGATTGATTCCTTCCTTGATTGATTCCTTCCTTCCTTGATTCCTTCCTTGATTGATTCCGTCCTTCCTTGATTCCTTCCTTCATGTATTCCTTCCTCCCTTTTCTTGCTTCCTTCCTTGATTCCGTCCTTCCTTCTTCTTGATTCATTCCTTGATTCTTTCCTTGATTGATTCCTTCCTTCCTTGATTCCTTCCTTCCTTGATTGATTCCTTCCTTCCTTGATTCCTTCCTTCCTTGATTGATTCCTTCCTTGATTCCTTTCTTCCTTCCTTCCTTCGTCAAACATTGCTCCATATTCATCCGTCATGCTCAGCAGCACCTCTCACAGCCCGTCTTGCTGCTGATAAACAGGAACTGAACCATCACCGATAGAAACGAGGAAGTCGTCCCTCTTAAACAATTCCTCACACTTTGACGCAGCAAAAAAGGACGACGAATCTTTTCAATGCGATATTTTAAAGTAAAATCAACACTTCGGTTTTTGTCTTTTTTCTCTCCGGAAACCAACTGAAATTAAAAGCAACAGCGGAGCAGTGAAGGTAAGAAAGCGGCTCCGTGTTGATCTCACCGTCTGTTGGGATCTCACTGAAGAAAGGCTGCTTTAGTTCAAGTTCAACAATAATAAACACCTAGTTTATTAACTTTATGAGCGGGCGATAATATTTAAGTTATTAAAAAAACCGTACTTTTATTATCACCAGGTACACAAACATTAGCCTCCTAAAATTCAAACATATGTTTGTAAAATCTTATTTAAACATTAAACCGACATATGTTGTTCTTACATCGTCTAAGGGAAAATGTTTCGCTGCAACAATGATTTCAGAATGATTATTTTCTAAAAGTCAGTCAAATGTAGATTAATAATTAATTTAGATAATTTAGACGATGTAGTGCAGTCACGTGCAGTCAATGCTTTCTTTATGTGTCAGTTATCATGGGCGGCCCTAGGGTGACCAGATCTGGGTTCCTTGCAGTTCTGGGGCCCTTTTTTTAATGGGCAAAAAAAGTATACAAAGGGTTGAAATTAGGGCTGGGCGATATAGAAAAAAAGCTTATCGATAAAAAAAAAATGCATATTGATCGATATCGATAATTATTGAAAAGATTTGAAACCATATTTTATGTGCAGCTCTGCCTGGACTTTTTATAATATTGCTAAATGATTTAATTTTAATAAAAAACACAAACACAGACTTCGAATTAAATATTAAATCATTTAGCAATATTATAAAAAGTCCAGGCAGAGCTGCACATAAAATATGGTTTCAAATCTTTTCAATAATTATCGATATCGATCAATATGCATTTTTTTTTTATCGATAAGCTTTTTTTCTATATCGCCCAGCCCTAGTTGAAATGGAATAAAAATGAGTGTGCCTCATCAGGCTAATGTAGTAAAACAATTTGACATAGATAT